AAAGGAAATAACAATCTTTGGTCATGTGTTAGAAGTATTAAATAATAAGTCATCTGATGAGTTAATTTTAAAAAAAGACAAGTATGGGGCAAAAAATAAAAATGCTTATTTCCACAAAGATCAAAATAATTTAGTACTTTACCACCATAATTCAAAAATAATTTTAATACCTCAATGTATGTTGCAATAACATTGTATATAAATAAACATCCCCCTCCTCCCACTCTTCCATCCATATCACAAATAAAGGCTGACTACCTCATTGCTCCTCAACATTTCCTCTGAAAAGCGATCAGTGTTTCCTGCCTGACCATTAAAGGGATTTTGAAAAACTTTTCAATCCGTATCAGTTTCATATCCTTATTTAGTTCCTCAAATTTGCCCTCAGCTGGGAATTCTGCAGGCAACTGTGATTCTGTTGTCTTCGCCACTCATTTGAAAGGTCCCATCCATCATCATTTCTAGTCCTTTTCTGATGCAATGTAGCTTGTTCTTTGTCTTTCTTATAAACTGAATGGCTGTTAAATTATCCATTTATCTTCCTTCAGATTTTCTGTTCAGTTTCTCAGGCCCTATAAGGACTGTCTTTTCTACCTTGTTTGCTGACTTTTCATTCCATTTTCCCTGTTCTTGGCGGCATCTTGGTTCACCATGCTGCCCTTCAAAACAAACTCTCTGGCTCAGTCTGCTTTTTGCTTGTTCGAAAGCAAGCAGACCTTGCTACTCAAGTAGATTTCCTTTTCAAATTTTGTTCCTTTGAATAATTTTGAAAACTTTGAGGAAATATATTTCAAATTTTATACATAGATAGTAGGATATATTGGAACAAACTCTAAATTGAAAGTCCAAAGTCTTGGATTCTAAACCCAACTCTGCCACTATCAAGTCATGTCACTCAACAGCGACCTTTCAGGGTTTTGCTTTCCCCACCTTCACATGGTCTGCAAGCACAGGCCTAGTCAACTATTCTAGTATAAGAATAGCATCTTTCTTCTGTTAAAGGTGACCCAATAAATGATCTGAGGTTTGTATAATGCTGATGCTTGCACTCACATTATCTCAGACAGTACTAGGTCATACTGATTAGGAGTCCCAGATTTGAAAACAGAAAGAATCTATGCCCCATCACTTACTATATATTCTTAGGTAAGCTGCAGAAGCTCTATAGCTTCAGTTTTCACATCTGAAGAAAATGATTCTTATAGCATCTAACTTGGTATTGTGAAGAGAATTAAATTAGATAATGCTTGGAAAGTCAGTCTTGAGCACATAGTAAGTGCCCAAAATATGTTGTTATGGACTCACTACATTTTTGTGAGACAAGAAGCTTGGCTATTATTATCCAAATTCACAGCAGAGATACTGAAGTTTACAGATTATATTAATGATAACAGTGACTCACATGCTGGAGGGCTTTAACTATAATGGGGCTTACTCTTCCCAAAGCTTTTCCACATACTTTACCTCCCTTGGTTCAGACTCTTGGAAAGGTTGATATTGTCTACCATCAATCCCATTTGCTCCAAGAAGAAAGGCATTTTGTAAGGCCCAAAACCTTACAAAAGTAGTAGAGTGAAGTTGCTTTCATTCAAACCTACCAGCCAGTGGTGATCACCATAAAAAGAAAGCTGAGGATGGTGAGCCCTCGGTTTATGAGTGTACAGGGCAGGTTTGAAAGAAGACACTTATAAAAACACTCAGCCCTTACTGCTTCCTCTTAGGCTATCTTAGGTTTTATTTTTCTCTCTCCCTCTGGCTCCTTTCTGTATGTCTCTGTTTCTCTATTTTTCCTTTCTTTTTTAGATTCTTCAGCCATTCAGATCACCTGTAGCACTAAAACCTAAATTTGATGATATATTAAGTCAAAGATTTGGAGAATAATTTGTCCTTCTTTGTGATTTTATGGTTCTGTAGCTCATCCCTCTCTTTGTAGGAGGTGTTGGTTCAGATGCTGAAACTCCTCTAATTCACTGGGGCGATTGTGAGCAGCAAGTATAACCTCCCTAGTTTCTCATCCGTGAAATAAAGGCAGGGATGTTAACACTCACACAAGGCAATTCAAGAGTGATAGGTTATTTCAGGGCATCCCAAAAGCACAAAATGCTGAGGAAATGCAAGCGCTTACTAGTAACAATGTGATAACCTGATCTTTCCTGTTCCTGTCACTCTCTTGCACTGGCTATGTTGCTGAGGAGGCCCCGGGGGGTCTCCCAGCTGCTGGTAACAACTCACACACTGCTGCTGCCACTTGGATGAGGGAGGAGGTTGGTAGATTCAGCTGTGCTGGGCATTCTGGCTGAGTGACAGAGACAGTGAATGCAAATAATTAAGATGTTCTAATAAAGGAACCCACAGAGGGTCCCAGAGGCTAGAATATCTACCTCTTGGGGGCCACCAGAAGTTTCCTAAGAACCTGTCATCTGAGCAGAGTCCTCAAGTAAGACTAGGAGCTGCATGGGGAGAGGAGGGGAAGGTAGGCCTGTAGATGGCTGGGTAAGCACAGGCACAGAGTGTGGAATATTAGTGAGGTAGCAATTAGGGAAATGGCAGGTGACCACTTATGGCAAGAGTAGAGGGTACAAAGGAGGGAAACAGAGAAGGTGGGATGGAAAGGCAATTGTGCCAATTGAGACTTTTTCCTGTAGTGGTGGGGAGGGAGGGCCTGAAGGACTTTAAACAGGTGAGCCATATGATCAGCTGTGCTTTGGGAGCATAGCTCTGGGGGTGACATGGAGCCTGGAGGATGGGATTGTATGCATGAGACTGGGGTCTGCTTGGAGGCAACTGGTAGGGAGGCAGTCAGGAGACCCTACTAATACAGGGGGTCCAAATGAAGGAGAAAAATCATGATGGCACAACTAGAAAATAATAGAGAAGAAAAACTACCCTAGGCATTTTGGTCTTATTTTATAATATATTTATTAGCTTTTTGATGACATTAGAGATTTTTTTGAAGTTGTCTTTTGTTTCCTGCCTTTACCGTATGCTCTGAATTCCCTTTTCTTTCATGCTTTTTGGTTTGCCATTCTTTCATATTGGCAGCTTTGCTCAAACATTCTGTGGCCCTTATCTGTTTTCATATATTTAAATGCAAGTCACTGAAAAACGAAAGACCTATTCAAGGCAGAGTATAAAGCAGACCAGGGCAGGCAAGTGGGAGAGCTGTGACTGTCAACTGGTGGGCTCGCTTTTAAGGGCATCCTGCAGGCAATCAGTTCATTGAGAGAATCTGAAGTGCAAGTCCACACAGATCTTTTCTCTGAGGCTGTTCTGTTTCCCTAGAGAAGAATCCCACCTTACCGCTTCTGGCGGTTTCTGGCTGTTGGCATTCCAGGCGCAGAGTGATAGGGCATCTGAGAGTCCAGCAAATAATTCCACAGACTTTTGATTTCAGCCACGAATTCTCTCCATGAGTACTCTGAGAGAAGAACTCTCTAGTCTCCAGACTTGGCAGTGGCTATAGAGGCTGGTGACCTGGCTGTCTGGGTTGTGGGAGATTCCTGAGATCCCATTCACCAACTTCCAACCTTTCTTTTCCTCTTGTTTCCAGGCTGATTTCTCCACTTCGCTGTTGTGAATGGACTTGTGTCCTCCCAAAAGCTATGTTGAAGTTCTAACCCCTGTACCTGTGAATGTGACCATGTTTGGAAATAGGGTCTTTGCAGTTGTTAGTTATCAAGGTAAGAGGAGATCAGGATAGGCCCTAAATTCAATGGTTGGTGTCTTTATAAGAAAGTCATGTGAAAACACAGACACAAGAGAATGTTACATGAAGTCAGGCAGAGAATGTCAAGAACTGTTGGCAGCCACCAGCAACGAGGAGGGAGGCATGGAATGGATTCTCCCTGAGAGGCTTCACAAGCAACCACCCCTGCTGACACCTGGATTCTAGCTTTTAGAACTGTGAGCAAACACATTTCTGTGATTTAAAGCCGTCCAGTTTGCTGTACTTTGTTACAGCAGCCCTAGGAAACAAACATATCCACTCTTGGCTGTTTCTAGGTCCTGAGCCTCTCAGGCATTCCTTCTGAAAGGCAAATCGGCTGGCTTCCTGTTGCTCTCCCCTTGTGCAGAAATTTTAGGAGATTACTTCCTTCTTAGCTTCCAATATTTGAGGATATCATATCTCTACTTATGCTCTGTTTCTTTCAGAGTGTATAGATTTCTTTTAAAAAAAGAAATGCAACTTTATTACTTCTAATCATACTTAATAGTATTAAATAGTCAATAAAATGAGGTACCAAGGCCCTCATTTCAGAATTATCTCTATTAGGAAAAAAAAAAAAAAACCACGGGATAATTGAATAAATTACAAGTCAATTGATTTGAATAGTAGGCTGTCATTTCAAAGGATAATACGAAAGCCTGGCGTGGTGGCTCACACCTGTAATCCCAGCACTTTGGGAGGCCAAGGAAGGCATATCACTTGAGCTCAGGAGTTGGAGATCAGCCTGGGCAATATGGTGAAACGTCATCTCTACAAAAACACAAAAAATTAGACAGGTGTGGTGGTGTGCGTCTGTGGTCCCAGCTACTCAGTAGGCTGAGATGGGAGGATTGCTTGTGCCCTGAAGGCAGCAGTTGCAGTGCGCCGAGATTATACCGCTGCGCTCCAGCCTGGGTAATAGAGTAAGACTCTGTCTCATAAAGAAAGAAAAAAAAAAACAGCAATGTAAAAATTATATAGAAACATAGAAACATAAGAACTTTATATTAAGTGACCAAAGCAGAATACACTCGTGCACCTTGGTAAAAATGTGTTTGCATGTGGACAGTAGTATGAAGGGGTATCAGGAATAAGAGAATGTAAGGTTCTTAATTCTTCCAACAGTCTGCTCATGACAATTTAGGTATTCTCTAAGGTGATGTATATTTTCTTTACTGTTCTCATTTCCTTTTGATACCTCAACAGCAGAGTTTTTAACATTCACATATATTTATCCTTTCCTTCCTCCCTCCTTTCCTCCCGCCTTCCTTTTTTCCTGCTTCTTCTGAAGTGAGCCAAAGAAGAGAGGGTCATGAAGAAAAGACAAATAAGGTTTTAAAATATGCTCTCTAAATAACTAGAAAGTTATTTAAGGGATGAGAACATTCTAAGCCTTGTAAGGACTTGGGATTAAGAGACATTAGCTTCATGATTCCAAAGGAATGCTTTAAAGAAGAGTTATGTATGTTGGTCAGCTGGATAAGGAGAATTTAAGGTAAGAATTAAGATCTTTTTTTCTTGGGGGGGAGGGAAGGAGGAAGGGAGGAAGGCAGGAAGGGAGGGAAGGAGGAAGGGAGGGAGGAAGGAAGGGATGAAGGAAGAAAGGAAGGGAGGAAGGGGGGAAGGAGGGATGGAGGGAGGGAGGGAGGGAAGGGAAGGAAGGAATTCAAGCAATGAGACAGACATTGCCGACCTGGATCTAGAGGTTTACAAGTTGATTTCTTTTTTTGAGAGAAGGAAAGAAAAAAAATGAGTAAAGGAGAGAAAGAAAGAGGAAGAGAGAGAGGAAGGGTGAATGGAAATATTGCTTTATTCTGAAAAAAAAAAATGGGTATTAATAATGGCCAATCAATGTTTCATTTAAACCTATGAGTAGGTGTGATGTGGTATTGACAAGAATGTATATTTTGTGTATTTGAAGTGGAGAGCTCTATAAATATTTATTAAGTTTACTTGTTCCGGATCTGAGTTCGAGTCCTTGATATCCTTATTAATTTTCTGTCTCATTGAATCTAAGTCTCTATGTATCTGGGTGTTAGGATCGTTAGTTCTTGTTGTTGTATTGATCCTTTTACCACTATAACTTTGTTGCTTTAAAATATATTTTACCCGCTACAAGAATTGCAACTCCTGCTTTTTATTTATTTATTTATTTATTTATTTTTGCTCTCCATTTGGTTGGTAAATCTTTCTCCATCCCTTTGTTTTGAGTCTTTGTGTATCCTTGCATGTGAAACAGGTCTGGATGTAACATGCCGTTGGGTTTTGGCTGGGTCTTTTGATTGGGGGATTTAGTCGATTTAAATTTAGGGTTACTGCCATTTGATGTTAACTGGCTGTTTGATCCATTCGTTGATGAAAATTCTTCTTTATGTTGGTGCTCTTTACTTTTTGGTGTATTTTTAGAAAGGCTAATACTGGTTGTTTCTTTCTGTGTGTAATACCTCTTTCAGAAGCTCTTGTAAAGCAGGCCTGGTGGTAATAAAATCTCTGAGTACTTGCTTGTTCATAAAAGATTTTATTTTTCCTTCAGTTGTGAAGCTTAGTTTGGCTGGATATGAAATTCTGGGCTGAAGATTCTGTTCTTTGAGGATGTTGAATATTGGCCCCCACTCTCTTCTGGCTTGTAGAGTTTCTGCTGAGAGATCTGCTGTAAGTCTGATAGGCTTGCCTCTGTGGGTAACCTGACCTTTCTCTCTGGCTCCCCTTAGTATTTTCGCCTTTGTTTCAACCCTGGTGAATCTAACGATTATGTGTCTTGGGGTTGCTCTTCTTGAGGAATATCTTTGTGGTGTTCTCTGTATTACCTGGGGTTGAATATTGACCTGCTTTGCTAGTTCAGGAAAATTTTCCTGAATAATATCCTGAAGGGTATTTTCCAGCTTGGATTCATTCTCTCCGTCGCATTCAGGTACACCTAACAAACGTAAGTTTGGTCTTTTCACATAGTCCCACATTTCTTGGAGACTTTGCTTATTCCTTTTTATCCTTTTATCTCTAATCTTGTCTTCTTGTTTTCTTTCATTAAGTTGGACTTGGACCTCTGTTATCCTTTCTTCTGCTTGAACAATTCGAGTGTTTAAACCTGTGCATACTTCTCAGAGTTCCTGTATTGTATTCTTCAGTTCCATTAATTCACTTATATTCCTCTCTAAGTTGTCTATTCTCAACAGGATTTCGTCAAACCTTTTTTCAAAGTTCCTAGTTTCTTTACGTTGGGCTACAACATGTTCTTTTAAGTCACAGAAGTTTCTTATTATCCATTCCCTGAAGAGTGATTCTGTCATTGGGATGCACTCATTCTCCATCAAGCCTTGTTCCATTGTTGATGTGGAACTGTGATCATCTTTAGAGGGAGAGGCGTTCTGATTTTGAGTATTCTCAGCCTTTTTACGCTGGTTTCTTCCCGTCATTGTAAATTTATCCTCCTGTCGTCTTTGAAATTACCAGCTTTCAGATATGGTTTCTTGATTGGACGTCCAAGTTGTTAGTTCCCAAGGCCAGAATGGCAGCGTTAAGACTGATGGTGCTTTTCTGCCCAGGATTCTCCTGTCTGGCTTCATTCTTGTGTCCATAATGGGCGACTCTGCCTTCCCTGGGCTCCAAACCTCGGTCAGAAGGGTAACCAGTCTTGTTTATTCTGCGCCGAGAGCTGCCTCACTAAGGTGCCATCACAGCTGCTGTGCCGGTCTCAGGAGTCATGCTGGGGACCCGTGTGGGTCCTCCAAGCCTCGGTCAGAAGGGGAGCCGGCCCTGTTTACTCTGCTCTGTGAGCTGCCGTGCCGAGGTGCCGGTGAAACCGCTGCACTGGCCACAAGAGTCGTGCTGGCCACAAGAGTCGCGCTGGTGACCCGTGTGGTTCCTCCACTGGGGATCTTCTGCTCCGTGAGCGACCAGAATTTGTCTGAAAGTGTGGTGTCCTCTAGTTCTCTGCACTTTGACTGAGAGCTGCAATTCCCAAGCTGTTATCGATCAGCCATCTTGGATCGTTCCCCAAGAATTAAGATATTATCGTAAATCTGTTCTCAAAACCTTATTAGTTGGTATATTGTATTTTTTCCATTGGATTCCAGCATTTTAATATGGATTCATGGCACTGTTTGAGCTCATAAAATACATATGAATAAGAATAGATTAATAGTAAAATATAAATAACAGGTTTTTTTCAAAGTTGCATAAAATAAATTAAAATCCATTTTATTTACCAAAAAATATGCATAGAGCCTGTTGTTTATCAGGTCAAACTCCTTTTTAGAGGTGAAAAACATTAGGTATTCTGGAAGAACTTTGAGATATAGCGAAGGGTATGAGATGCCTTCACCTGCCAATTATCATGCATGATGTTGGAAGGAACAGGAACTTAACTACTCTTCTATTAATGAGCCCTCTCTGCTACTCAGAACTTCTTCCTACCCAGCACATTCTTTTTTTCTTTTTCTTTCTTTGTTTTAAAGAGATGGGATTTTGCTCTGTCACCAGGCTGGAGTGCAGTACTGCAATCATAGCTCACTGCAGCGTCGAACTCCTGTGCTCAAGCAATCCTCCCACCTCAGACTCCCAAGTAGCTGGCACTACAGGTATACATCACCATGCCTGGCTAAGAATGGAGCATATTCTTAGTTGATGTTTGTACTGATTGCTGTTAGACACTAGAGGATCCTAAAAGTTTTCCAAGTCATAGAAAGATTAAATTTTAATCAGGATAAATTTAGTATATTTTATTGTATTATAACTTCTTGAAATCATATGTATGCAATATACAGTATAAATTTGTTGAAATCTACCTATGCTATATGCTAGCTCCATCTCTTAACTTGAATATTAAAATAACTAGAGGACTATATTTTCTGGCAATGCTGGATAAAAGACAATTTAATGTATTTCTTAGATGAAAAAGTCAAAGCTCTGAAAAATTCATGGCTATTAACTGGTCCTGTATGGTAGCATTCAACTCTGATGAGAATGAAAGCACTTTCTAAAAATATAGGCCATATACTCCAGCTTATGTGCAGGAATATAACAGTGTACATGTTGATGAAAGATTTTATATAGTCATGTGCCTCATAATGGCACTTCAGTCAATGATGGACCACATAAACAATCATGGCCCCATAAGATTATAATACTATATTCCTACTGTACCTTTGCTATGTTTAAATATGTTTAGATGCACAAATATTTACCATTGTGATACAATTGCTTACAGTATTCAGTACAGTCAAATGTTGTACAGGTTTGTAGCCTGGGAGCAATAGGCTATTCCACATAGCCTAGGTGTGTAGTAGGTTGTACCATATAGGTTTGTGTAAGTACACTCTGATGTTTGCATGATGAAATTGCCAAAGATGCATTTTTCAGAATGTATCCCCATTAAGCAACACATGACTCTATTTCTAGGTGATAACTACATGACATTATATGCTTCATACGTTCCACTGCTTATACTGCATCCCCTCATTCACTTGTCTGTTTCTTCATTCCTTTGCTCAACAAACATTGGCTGAACAGCTCTAATGTGCTAGCACTATACTAGGTCCCAGGAATATGGTGGCTCCAGGAAACCAGTCTAATGGGGAAGGGACAGAAAGTTAGTCACATACAGAGTGTTTGGTTATAAAGAGATGGAGACAGTGCCGTGCAATGTTGTGGGGAAGTAGAGGTTTTACAGAAGTGACAGCTTGGGTTGTTGTCTTCCAGGCAGGTAAGAGAGCAAGGAGGCATGGGCAGAGGCCAGGGAAGATGGAACAAAGGGCTAGTGAGTCCTGTGCTTGGGGCAAGGGGTGTCTGGTGAGGAAGTGGGCAGGGTGACAGGAGATTAGGCCAAGGAATAGGGGTGGGCTTCAGAATGAATGAGGGGGTTTCTGAATGCTAAGCCAAGGACTCTGTAAGATACCTTAAAGATGGTGATTGTAACTTGAGGTCTTTAAGGCAGGAAGATGCTGTGATCAGATTTTTATAAAAAAGATCATTTTGTAAAAAATTTGGAAGGTAGACAGTAGCAGAGGTGCCTATAAATTACATAAAACCAATACTTTTGATTATTAATGTTTCTCTTCTATTTATATTTGGATAATAACACATACAATATTTTCTGAGATAAACAGCCTTTACTATCTATCAGGAATCAGATTTGGGTACATTATTACATAACAAGGACAATATTTTGAGAATAGTAAGCCAGTACACTTTCCATTCTGTTTAAATGGTGATGCCTGGGGCTCTTCTCTTATTATCTCAGTAGGCTTCCCTCCTTAAGGCAAATGGCGGTTCCCAGCTAGAAACAAGCTGCCATCATTCAGCTCTGAAAGAGAATAACCCTACAAGTAGCCTTGCATGGTGAAGGGGCTTTCTACATTTCAAAACTCTCTTTTCACTATTAAGAACCAAACCTGTCTAAATTAGATCTTCAGGTTTTACTACAAAGCTCTAGAAAGAAGGACACAGAGGAGACCATATAAGAATAGCTCCCATCAGGCAAAGCAAAGTAAATGGAAATGTTAGAGAAGAGGGGGAGTAGGGAGAGGGGCAGTGAGAGAGAAGAGAGGAGAAAGAGAGAGGCAGAAAGAGGGGGCTGAGAGAAAGGGAGATCAGAAGTGACTAGTCCTGGCTTCACATTCCTTGGGGGATCAAACCCTAAAGGTGAGGGGAGGGCTTATATTTCAAATTTCAGAGCCTAATTCAGGAAAATAATGGAATTTTCCTAAAGCAAGTTGGTACCACCCAGGCAGCATATTAGAAAAGACTTGGGAAGCTGTATGGACAGCAGGGTGAGGAGAAAGTAGTTAGGAGTTCATGGGTGCTGTTGGGGGACTGAGCAAATGTCAAGAGATCCAGTCAGCTAGAACTGGACAGGAAGCTGCTGGGGGTGGTGGCGGGGGCTTGACAAGATGCTGCCAAAAGGACTACAGACTTAAGCAGTCAGAGCTGGTGGCCAGAGCCAGCACAATGTGCTCATCACACCCACACCATAGTCACACAGGGCTGGCACAGCATCACAGCCAGAGTCACCACCAGCCACCTCTCAGTGAACCCAGAAAGACCCAGCAGGCAGGATGTGCACCAGGGGTCCTTCTCCCAAAGGTGACAAAATCATCACAACCATAGGTGAGTTCTTTGGTACCTAGATGTCAGCTGTGGAGGAGAAAGAGCTCTGATTGGGAGCAATTCAAAATTTACTCCCTCCAAAGACCTACTTTAACCAGAAGACATTGAGATACTTTAATAGTCAAGTTTAAATAGTAGTCCCTGAATACTGCTACCACCCTACTCCCCATCACCAGGAAAAAGTGGAGCCAGATAGATTAGTTATAGAGAATATAGAAAGTTGTTCTCCTTCCTTCCTTCCTTCCTTGCTTCCGTCTTTCCTTCTCCCCTCCCTTCCCCTCTCCTCTCCTCTCTTCTCCTTCCCTCCTTCCTTCCTTTTTCTCTCCCTCTCTCCCTCCCTACATTCCTCCCTTCCCTTCCTCTCTCCTCCTTTCTTCCTATATTTTTTGAATTATATATGATGCCATTCCATATATATCCCCCTTTGTAAGGACAAGTAAGAAACTAGACCCAACTCTCTTCCTTTCATCCACAGGAATACTGAAAGTCACAGAGAAACACTTACAGGAAACTGATTTGGATGGTGTCTTTTTTTTTTTTTGAATATATGATTAAGTTGTTCTTAGGGAACACTGGATTGCTTTTAAAGTACTTTCATCAGTATACAGAGAGTGTCCCAGAGTAGCACCTTACATCCTCTTTTCTAACTCCCACTCTACTATTTTAACTATATTTTAAACTTTTCTCCTTATTTTCCCCAGAGAGCATATTAGTATTGCATCATGTGGAATGTATTTTTCAAAATGACCATTAAAACTAAAGGCAGAGGCTGGGTATGGTGGCTCATACCTATAATCCCAGCACTTTGGGAGGCCGAGGCCTGCAGATCACTTGAGGTCAGGAGTTCAAGACTAGCCTGGCCAACATGGTGAAACTCCGTCTCTACTAAAAATACAAAAAAATTAGCCGGGCGTGGGGGTGGGCACCCGTTATCCCAACTACTCGGGAGGCTGAGATAGGAGAATCGCTTGAACCTGGGAGTCGGAGATTGTGGTGAGCCGAGATTGTGCAATTGCACTCCAGCCTGGGCAACAAGAGCAAAACTCCATCTCAAAAAAAAAAAAAAAAAAAAAAGGCACTACTCTTACCAAGTTTTTCCTACTTTTAATGGAAAGTGAAAATTATTCTGGCTAGATGCTGGCCAGGTCACGCCCTTTTGCATTATCTGTGAAAAATTCCACTCCGAAATCAAAAGCCAGTTTAGAACGAGTTAAAAATCAGATCATAGTTATAATGAAAATTAAATCCCTCAGTCCTTAACAAACAAAAGATTTATAATGACTCTGCACCACTGACATTCTAGGTACACTGAGATTTGGTTGAGTCGAGAATGAAAATAAGGAGCCAGAACTTAGCTTGCTATTGCAGGGAAAAGCTCAGAATAATACTGTGACATGAAAGTTTGTTTATCCCTAAGGCTGGTGTGGCAATGACTTCAAAGTTTGATTGTGTCTTTGTTTTCTTCCTTCTTCCTTTTTTTTTACTCCAAAGATGTTGAGCAGCAGGGCTAATGGATCCCCAGCAGGGTGCAAAGACAGCAGAAAGCGCAGGAATCAGATGTCAATGTATTCCTTTGAGATATCCTGCTAGGACACAGCTAACTAACCAGGGCTTGAGTCTTCTCTTGGGGAATGTGCTTCGATGGTTCTCTGCGCACTCTTGGCTTCCTGAATAAAAGGCTGTCACCCATAAATCACGACTTCATCCTGTTAACGATCATTTTCTTTCTCTCTCTCTCTCTGTCCTCTGCCTCTCTCTCTTTAAGGGAAAGTCTGAAGATTTAAAAAAGATGAGCAAGTTCCAGAGAACTTGGATAGAAGCCTGGCCTACATCCTTATTAGATAACTATCCATCGATCTGGGACTGTTCTGTGCGTGTGTCCTACCCACCTGGCATGTTGGGAGAGCTAAATCAATGCCACAATGACATGCTGTCTTTCTCCACTTGAGATTGAACCAGTCAGCCTCTCTCATTGACAATACATATGGTAAAGAGGGCCTGCCCATCGTTTTTTCTGTTTTATCTATATATTTTAATATATTTTCTGTCAGTGACTTTCTGTCAATCTCAAGATTACTTAGATAACTTTCTAATGAATAGATTTTGGGGAAGAGGGAGTTCCTCATTGTTTTCCCTCAATGTAGTAAAAAATTGAGTGGAACTCGGAGTTATCTCAGAGATAAGAGTTCTGATTTTAAATGCAATGGGCATTCGAAATATACCAGTGTGGGTTGCCAACTAGGCACATAAATAAGTAGCCCTTCAGGCACCTGAGAATAGTGATAATCTTTACCCTTTGCTTGGAGATAAGCCAATCTCAGCAAACAGGAGCACAAACAGAAAGTGCTTTATTTATTTGATATTTAACAAGCACAACCCTTTTAAAACCATGAAGTAAAACCGAACTACCCAGTGAAAGTCAATGAAGTAAAGAAAAGCTTGGATGCCAAATTCGCTGTTCTGCCCCACTACCTTACTCAGGAGCCTCCAGCTGTGGGGTGCCCTCGGTCAACCCCCACCCTCTCTAGACCCCAGCTCTCTCCAACCTTCTCCACCTGCAGGAAGATCCGAGCTCTCTCTGTGAGCTTGCTTGCCTTGTGCTCTACATGAGGTTCTTGCCCACCCAACCTTGTCCTACCTTGGGGTTGGGTCCTTGGTTATTAGAGGAGACATGCTTTGTCTCATGTGTAATCCTTGGTATCCTATGCCTAGACCAACGTGGTAAAGTGAAGCTGAATTCTTATACTGTATTTCAGACCAATCACACCAGGGATTCCTGCCACCTGCATACTTCCCACTTGCCTTTGATCCTCCCAGCCTCCTTATTATTGCATTTTTATGTTCAAAACCCCAAACTGGCCTTTCACTGAGTTGTCTCAGTGAATGGTGTCATATCAGTGACCTTCCTGGCATGTCACATCAGTGACCTTCCTGGCTTGTCACTTCCTCAAGATGTTGTGTCTTCCCATTAATGGTGATTCCTGCCCACTGACTGATCCAATTTCAGTTTGCAAGCACCAGTAGTTTGTGTGAGATTATACAGTTAAATAGTGGAGGGAAGGAAGAACATTGCATGAGATGAAATAAAATAGGACACTCATAGAGGATACTTAAACTCACCCTACAACGTTTTAGTTTGAGAGCTCTTAAAATGGTTGGTTTCAAAGCCTTGTAAAAAAAACTTACAAATGAAATGAGATCTTTTTTTACTAGTGATGATAAGGAATCAAAAAGAGCAAGATTTTCACCCCCTGTTTAATTAGAAGATAAAGCAGCAAGTATGAATATGAGCTTCTGTAAATAGCTCCTTCCATATTCCCTTTAGCAGGACATGCCTCTCCCCAGTTAGTTAAATAATAGAAAATGGTGCAAGAAATTTCCATCAAAGGTGGAGCAGGGCAGCAGAAAGGTCACTACACCAAAACAAAGGTCATGGGTGAGCAGGACACAACTCTAATTTGGTGGGAGCATCACTCAATCTGTCTATACATTAATTACCTGCAGCTGAAAATAGCAGAGGTATCTAACCCACAGATAAGTAGTAAAGTGAAACAGATGTGAAAAACCAGGATAATGTATAATGTGAAGGGATAATATTACTCCCTAAATTCTAGAAACTGCTATTTTCAATTTAAATTCAAGTAACTTCCTATGTAACTTAAAGATTTCAAAGCATTTAATAAGAAGCATAAGATAAGCCCTAAGGATTGTGAACCAGTAATAAAACAACTAAATTAACATGGGAAACCATATGAGGATCCTTTACAGCCTTTCCTTTAACCAATCACTTAGGAAGAGTGTGTAGACTTTAAGTTCACTCCAAAATCGCTTTGCGAACTAGTACCAAAACTTAATCAGCTTCCCACTGCAGTACATGTCTTCATCCTCCTAAGCTTTACTCAGAATAAAAAGAATGTAGTCATTGCACAAATAATTTATTCATTCCATTTATTTGCCTAAGTGGGCACACAAAACTGAATAACATTAAAAAATAATTCAACACGTATAGTCAAAGCCAATTTCGCAAAGTAAGACATACCTGACCCAAAAGTTGTCGGGCTTTGCCCATAGGACCCTGCCTATTTAGAGACATTGAGGATGGAAGGAGCAGATAGGAAGAAAAGACAGTTGAGGATCCCCTTACAACATACATTATTTTCTATTTTGTTTGCCCAATCTTTCACCATTAAATAAAAGAACATTTTGTTCCATGAATAACTAAAGCAATTATATATTATTTTAAAACTTTGCCTGATTTTATGGTATCATGTATTTAATGAGTAATGTTATAGTTATTAAAAAGTACATGTCCGTCTTCAAGACAGTATTCTAAGTTTGTTGGCTTTTTTTCAGGGTTCTGTGACAGGGACCAGCAGTTCCTAAAAGTGCTGAAAATGAAGTGGTAGATGAGCTTGAACTTGATGGTTTTGAGGTCCTTAAAAGACAATACTGCATTTTTAATGGGGTTACATAGGGTGAGGAGCTAAAGAGCTTTTGCTTTCCCTGCATGTTTCCCACTTTGAAGTTAGAAAAGCAGCTCAATCTGATTGAGCTAGGTTGGGGGTAAAGAACTCGCCAGGTTTTCACAAATGAAAGCAAATGCTTAGAAGTAGAATTAAAAGCCAATGTACACTAAACTGTTAGTGTTAACTGATGCCAGCCCTGATCCGTACTCAAAAAGTGGCATGTGAACCATTCAAAGCAGCACTTTTCTCCTTTCAGAAGGAGAGGCCTACACACCAGGTAGCAGAGCAGCAATCATTCATTAGGGCATCTCGTTCAAAATTCACTGGTTAGGATTTGTCACATGCATCTCAGAGACAGGTAGATTTTGAAGATGGGAGGTATGTCACAAAACCCCTGGCTCAGACCATGGGGTCAGAGCAGAACTTGTTTCATGGAATCCTCATGTCTCACATGATATTAATAAAGAAAATTTGTAAAAAAAAAAAAAAAAAAAGATTTCCATGATCAAATATGTTTGAGAAATTGAGTTAAGTTTAAACATGTTTCTTGGGCCTCTGAGCTTTTTTTGAACAGATAGCTCTTAGATAATGGCTGGATGTTTATGTTCTTTGGGACACAGTTTGGGAGATAGTAAATAAAATATTATTATCCCTGGTTTACAGATCAGGGAGTGGAGGCCTATGGAGATTATGTCCTAGAAGGCGAAGAACACAGGTCTGCAGCCTCCTACCCAGCCAGGGAACAGCCAGAAATCCAAGAAAAGACAAGCTGCAGCTAGAGCTCTCAGCAATGTACGTATCCTGGGAAGGTCTCCTAAAATGAGTGCTTTTGGAAAGTACACACTTTTCCTTTTCTGATTCAGTCAGGACAAATAGGCCCTCCCAAATCCAAGTACCTGATACAAAGGCATGCAGATGCTGTCAATCCACTCCAGCTGCAACCGAGGCAGTTCATCTTTCCGGTTCCGATCAAAAATAGCCTAGAACGGGGTTGGGGGATACAACTTGGCTTTATTACACAGAAGTATTTTACAGGGTGCTTTGTCAAACACTTTGCTGCAATGATCCATTTTTCACAAACTGAACCCTTCACAAATCACAATCAATCTTTACACGTACTTTCTTTTCCTTTATCTATGATGAGAAATAAAATGTTTTTCCCCTTTTTATGAGATTTGTAAGCAAATTTACTTGAACTTTATAGTGTGCAACTTCTTGGGGCAAAAATCTGTCTTCAAAAATAAGTAACTGCTACTAAATCAAGTCATCAGGTCACTGGGAATTGGGTACAAGTCAAGGGGGAAGGGATATGTTTTACTGCCACGAAAATAATGCAGGCTTTTATTTCTAGAGTGAGAGGTTGGGATAGAGTGGGATAGATTGGAAAATACACTTAATTTTAAATAGAAACCATTTATATTAATTTTTCAGGGTGAGGGGTTGATTTGGAAATTACATATGTTTTTCAATAAGGTTCTATCATTAATAATTTTTAAAATATTTATCTATTATTGTATGGATGACGGTAGGTGACACTCATTATCTCTTCATTCTCAGCCCTTAAACTTTATGATGTTATAATGTTTGAGATAATTTAGGTATATTTTTGAGAAAAATAGATGACATTTTTCTGTTGGGCAGACTTAAGGGAAACAATCAATTGGAATTTTAGTGTGAAAATTAATTCACTGAACAAATACTGCCAATTTTATGCCAGTGAGACTGTCCCTCCCTTCGTTCTTAAGGAGTCAGGTCCAGGGTTGAGAAGCTCCCCTGTGCCCTTACTTATCTAGAAGACTGGGCTTTTTAGTTATAACTTCTCCTCCCTTAATGTCATACAATAAGTTTTGTCTTTCCTCTATATAAAATGTGGTATTCACACCATTTCGGTGTCCTTATAGGTCATGAGGGTGGAGCCAAGCAATCCCTTGGTCCAGAGATATTGGAAAATCCTGCATCCTTCAGATGTATGAACAAGAATGGGAGTGGACAGAGCAGAAATCACTAGCTGCCAAATCTGAGGAAAATAACTCCAAATTGGGGAGGTGGTCACTGATTCCCACAGGTCTTCTCATCATGGTCTTGCAGTGGAAGATGGGAAAAATCAGGAAAGAAGGCTGAAATTTGGAGAAAATTGTGAAAATGTGCCAGAGAGAGGGATAGTTTTTGTGAACAATATAAGTATTGGTCCAAATGTTTCTTTAGAACTGGGTATAGTGGCTCATGCATGTAATCCTAGCACTTTGGGAGGTTGAGGCAGGAGGATCACTTGAGCTCAAGAGTTCCAAGACCAGCCTGGACAACAGAGTGAGTCCCCTGTCTCTACAAGAAAAATAAAAAAAGGAATTAGCCAGCTGTGGTGGCATATGCCAGTAGTCTCAGCTACTCAGGAGGCTGAAGTGAAACGTTTGCCTAAGTCCAAGAGGTCGAGGCTGCAATGAGCCACAATTGTGTCATTGCACTCTAGCCTGGGTGACAGTGAGACTCTGCCTCAAAAATAAATAAATAAATAAACAAAATATCCCTTTAAAAAATATTATTCTGGTCTGGGCACAGTGGCTCACCCCTGTAGTTCCAGTACTTTTTGAGGCCAAGGCAGGAGGATCACTTGAGGTCAGAAGTTTGAGACCAGCCTGGCCAACAATGGCAAAACCCTGTCTCCACAGGCAAAAAATTAGCCAGGCATGGTGGTGGGCACCTGTAATCTCAGCTACCTGGCAGGCTAAGGCAGGAGAATAACTTGAACCTGAGAGGCAGAGGTTACAGAAAGCCAAGATTGTGCCACTGCACTCCAGCCTGGGAGACACTGTCTCAAAAAAAAGAATTATGTCTTATTTTCTCTATAGTTCACTTTGCTATCTAAAATTATTTATTTATTTAATTACTCAATTTCTAGTGGATATTAGAAAGTTTTCTTTTAAAAAATGCAGTGATTTTTAATATATTTATAAAGTTGTACTACTATTACTACAATTATAGAACATTATGATCACCCTCAAAGAAACCACATACCATTAACAGTCACTCTTCTTGTTTCCCAAACTCCCAGCCTTAGGCAACCACTAATTTATTTTCTGTATCTATGGATTTGCTTATTCTGCATATTTCATATAAATTGAATCTTATGATATGTGGTCTTTTGTGACTGGCTTCTTTCACTTAGCATAATGTTTTCAAGGTTTATCCATGTAGCATGCATCAGTACTTCATTTTTATTGCCAAATAATATTTCATTGTATAGGTGTTTTATTTATTTGTTCATCAGTTGATTGACATTTGACTTGCTTCCAGGATATTATGAATAATAGCTGTGAACATTCACATACAAGTTTTGTGTGGATGTTTTCATTTCTCTTGGGGAAATACCTAGAGGTAGAATTTCTAAGTCATATGGTAACTCTGTTTAGCTTTTTGAGGAATTGACAAGCTGTTTTTCAAAGCAGCTCCACCATTTTACATTGTATAAGGTTCCAGTTTTTCCACAGCCTCAGCCAACACTTGTTATTATTGTCTGTCCTTTTTGCTATAGCCATCTTAGTGGCTGTGAAGTGATATCTCACTGTGGTTTCAGTTTGCATTTCCCTGATTACTAATGATTTTGAGCATCTTTTCATGGCTTTGTGTCCATTTACATATTTTCTTCGGAGATATGTCTGTTCAGATCCTTTGCCTATGTTTCAAATTGAGTTCTCTGTCTTTCTATTGTTCAGTTACAATAGAATATTGTATTCTAGATACTTGAACCATAGAAGATATATAATTTACAAATACTTTCCTGTAATATGGGTTGTCTCTTCACTTTCTTGATAGTGTCCTTTGATCCATGAAAGTTTTTGATTTTGATAAAGTTCAATTTAATTTTTTTTTTTTGAGACAGAGTCTTGCTCTATTGCCCAGGCTGGAGTGCAGTGGTGCAATGTGGCTCACTGCAACCTCTGCCTCCTGGGTTCAAGTATTCTTCTGCCTCAGCCTTCCAAGTAGCAGGGATTACAGGTGCCCACCACCACCCCTGGCTAATTTTTGTATTTTTAGTACAGTTGCAGTTTCACCATGTTGTCCGGGCTGGCCTCGAACTCCTGACCTCAAGTAATCAGCCCACCTTGGCCTCCCAAAGTGCTGGAATTACAAGCATCTGCCACCTCTCCTGGCTGTCCAATTTAATTTTAATGAAGTTCAGTTCAATATCTCTGGACCAACATCTCTGAGTCTTCTTATCTTTTGTCTCTTGTGCTTTTGGTTTCACATTTAAGACACCATGGACAACCCCAATCCAGATTTATACCTATATTTTCTTCTAGTTTTATAGTTTTAGCCCTTACATTTAGGTGTATGATGCATTTTGAGTTTATTTCAGGGTATGCTGAGAAGTAGGGAAGCAATTTCATTCTTTTTTCTTTTTTTATTTCCTGACCAACAGCTGTGAAATAACTTCATTCTTTTGCCTGTGGATAAAAGTTGTCCCTCAGCTATTGTTGAAAAGATGTTATCTTGGCATCCATGTTGAAAATCAGTTGACCATAACTGTAAGGGGTTTATTTTTGGACTAGTCACTTCTTAATCAATGCTTGATGAGAGAAAAATGAGTGTGAGGCCCCACACAGTGCTGTGCTTCACAGCATTTTGCATCTCATAAAATGAGTATTAGTAATTATTTATTTCATGTCTACATTTCCCACCAGTTGACAAGGTCCTTGAGGGCAGGGAAGATGGTGGATCTTACTCATTGCTGGATACACAGTGCCTTGCTTCATGCCCAATACACGGGGGCACTCAGACAGGCTTTCCTAACTGACTCACTGCTTCCAGTCCTGAACCTCTGGCTGTGAGCAGAATAGGCTTTATCTTCATGAAGTGACTCCCATGACATCTGGGACCATGATACCTGAGGAGGCTGGCTCCAGGACAGTTTTCTTCCTACATATCAAGGGATAACGGGCACAGCAGGTGTCAGCTCTGGGTGCATGCATTTACAGATATTTCTGGAAAAGAATGGACGACTAACCCTGCCACATCAGCCAGGCCTCCGTGAGGAAATGGTCATCAGTGGGGATCTGTAGTCTTTGTGAGAAGACAGGAGCAGTTAGAGCTATGTTTCTACCACAAAATTAATTTTATTTATGTCTGCAGAAAATGCCTTACCTGAGCCTACAGAAAAGGCTCCTTAGTGCTACGCTACTACACCCACCAGCTCACCGGTGCTGGCAATTTACTCATACTTTTTTTCATTTAATTAAGTGAACTGTGGTATTACTGCATTGAAAACCCTTCAGAGTATGCCTCTGAAACAGTTTTTAAAGGGGGAAAAGCTTTTATTTGAAAGTAGATATGAGAGAATTTGGGTCATACTAGATTTTACACATTAACTGTATGTATCCCAAGCTAATATTTTTTATTTTTATAACCAAATTTAGTAACACCACCAAAAAAAGGGATGTTTTGAAAACTAAGTCAGTGTTGCTTTGAAAACTCAAATAACTGGTGTGTGTGTCAACCTGTATAGCCTCCTGACCTTTTGTACATAAGACACCGATTAAGAATAGTCAAATTTAGCAAGACTGTGCGTTCTGACTTCAAGCAGGTGAAACTATTCAAACTAGGAGATAGTTCTTTTGCTTTTCCTTGTTTTTAAATGTCAGCAAAGAAGGATGTCTTAAAACCTGAAGATCTTATAAATACCTCCAAATGTTCAAGCTCAGTTAATTTGGGTTCTTACAAACAGCCATTCTTGATAATTGATAAATTATCAAGACATTCCTTGAGTGTCATTGAATCTATTGCGCTATGCCGGGTTTTAAAATGCTTTGCACCACTCTCAGAGTAATTGGGTTATATTTTTTTAGCTAATCATTGGTTAGTAATAAAGAGCTAATCATTGGGTTATGTTTTTAGCTAATCATTGGTTAGTTGTATGTTTTTAGCTAATCACTGCCTGCCTTGAGGTGGTGACTGAGGCAGTTATATCTTCTGTATCCTTATGCTTCAAAACAGCATCATCTTGAGCCTACAGTAAGCATTCTTAAGCAATAATTGAACAGGTGAGTCCAATATAAATCGGGTTCCAATCATCAGCACCTAGTTCCCCAGGTGAAACTTTTTCATTTTACAGACAAAGGAAAGAATCAGAGATTTGCAATGATTTGCTTTTGGGATTTTGAAAAGTTGGAAATCGGAAAATAAAATCTAGTTTCTCAAAGCTGGACAGCCTGCCTTTAATTTTGCTGCACAATATTTCTATTCTAAAGTAGGCATACATGAAATGCCAGCACTGGGTTTTGAATTATTCAAATTCCACTTTGCTCATCCTCCCTTGTGCCTACTTGTCCCACTGTGGGTTCGCAGGAAATGCTTGTTAAGTAGCTTACCACTCTTAATCAGAAACCTAGGAATAAGAGTGTTTAGCATTTAAGTTTAATTAAGGTTTTAAACTTTCAGGAGTGCTTCCTTAAACCCATTTTCAGTCTTTCCCATTTCCAACTTGTAATTTGGAGTTGTTTTTGAAAATGTCATTCAAAAGGGTAAATACATGATAATTAAAGGATGAACTCACTGAAGGAGTAAGTTTGAGTTCTGATCTCTCTCGATCTCCTTGTTCGAAGAACTCACTGGTTACAAGTTCTGCCACCTGAAACATATAAATATTTTAATTCAAGCTTATATGTAATTTATCATGAGACTCAGACGTTCTTTCTTGCTTATGTATTTACTGATCCTCATCAACACAGACAGTCATTTAAAAAGCTTATGAGGAAGTGAGTATATTAACCTTTTATGTGTGAAGGTGTTGTAGAACTTAATGAAACTGATTTCCTTTTAATTAGGAGAACTTCTGCAATGTAATTTTAGTGGCATGCCAACAATCTCCCACAGTACAGCTTCCATATTTGGGATGAGGCAACAGGTTACCAGCTTCAAAGTGGGAAAAGTTCTTATACAGAAAATGAAGCAAATATTCATTTAATAATAATGTATAATTATCATTATATTATGTAAAGATAGTTTAGCCAACTGTTAATTGTTTCTATGTCCATTCTTTATTTTGCTGCATACTTTTATGTTAGCCCAGCTTCATCTTGCCACAAGAAAACTCCTGAACTTCCTCCCTACCAATATTTGTGTGCACTCTGGGAGGGATAACCCCAGGGCACATCCTCTGCTTCCTACTGTTGCAATCAATCAAGAGGCAGGACTAATGCTAGATTCACTATTCACAGCAGACTTTTACAGTAGGTCATGGTATAGTTTGAAGAGCGTGACTTGGTCTTCAGGCTGTCTGGATGTACGCACTAAAAGTGTTAATTTATGGTAGGGGCTAGTTGGTACAAGGACAATGGGACACTTGTTCTACCTTAAACCCGAAATAGAGACTTATATTTTTCTACTTTTAATCCATTAGCTTGGGTGATCAGCAGCTACTGATTATTGCCAAGCTAAACAGATTTCCTTTTTCTTTTCCGCAACTTCACTTCTCAGGGAAGCAAAGTTATATAACAGATTAAATGTTGAATAATTTCCAACGGTACTATGGTGTGCACCTAGGAAATTTTTGAGATGAACTAGCTGGATTTAAAACATATTGGAAGAGTAGAATAAATCCCAGACAACTTCATGGCAAGAGGACCTGGATACCAAACTAATTTTTCTCTATGCCAGGTTCTTATGAAGATAAGGTTCTTAAACCTGGCAAAGACGAGACAGTTTAATTTTGGTGAAGTGCATAGTATCATGATAATTTAACTCCACTGATCTCTCAAGAGATTTGGTCGACCACACAGATCATAGATAAAACTGAAACACAACATTAAACACTCACGTACACACGCACACACAAATCTGAGAGTAGCATGTGTACAGTCACATATAAAGAAATCAAATATCCAGTAAGTTCAGATTTTCAATATTTCTAATAAGAAACATGGACCCCTTTCAAGAATTCAACTGCATAAAACTAGTTGGAACTGACCGAAAATCCCCTTTACCCCAACCTCTGGCTCACTTGTATATGTGCCTGTTTTCTTGGATTCAATTCACTTGTCTCCTCTCCAGTCTCTCCTGCTACCCTGCATTTCAGCACACCAGGCTTCTCTCTTCTTTCTCTGGCCTTCCTTTGAAGAAGAAATGGTCCCCTAAGGGTATGGCCTCATTTATTCAGTTCCCAGAACTCTCCCTCAGATTGCTCTGAGCTAGGTCTTTTGCATTAAAGAATGTAAATGTGCACATCAGGCACTTCAAGGTGGGAGTCCTGCATAGGTCTGTAGCCCCTGGAAGGCAAAGAAATTAAAACAAAATTCTGTCCTTGCTCTTTCTCAAGTGGTCCTTCGTATCTCCCCAGTGCTCCTTTCACAACTTAGCTTGCATAACTGCTTTGTTTGTATTTAAAAACCCAATCAGGAGCATTAAGTTGTTCCTGATTGAATTTTTTATTAAAGAAGGAAATTGAGATGCTAATCAGGCCTTGGGGGAATCACTGGGGAAACCCACATGTTTAGAGTCTTGTTTGCAAGAAAGGAAAAGTGAAATAGACCCCAGTAGAAAACATTTTGAAAGGGAATTTTAAAAAATCAACATCCAGGAAGTTAGAGAAACATTTTAAAAATATTTTGTCCAGTGTTTCCTAAAATTTTGAAGTGAGCATTAAAAAAATTAACCCATCAATTTGGAGACAAACAAGAATGAGATTGCTAGCTTAGAACTGTGACAAGCTTTTTGATGGAAACATTTGGAAAAACATGGTTTTGTGTTTTATTCCTCTGAACTCTTAGGTTTCTGCACTTGTCAACAGAACCTCACATCCAGAAAATAAAATAATATTTATACTCGTGACTGAGAAGACCACCTACAAGCAGCTACTGGGCCTCCCAAGTTGGTCTAAGATAAGGCAGAATTTTTTTTTCCTTGCAAGTACTTTGCCCTGTCGCTTTCTTGTCCCCAGGGTCTACTGCTCCCTGAGTTCTTGACATCCATTTCACTGGGCTTTCTGAAGGTGCTGGCACATCATACCTCACCTTACTCCCTTTCTGGTCTTCTCTAGTGTTCTCTCAGTCCTCCTAACTTCCTCACACTCCCCACCTCCTTCCAACCCTATATAAGCAGCCTCTCCCAGTACTACACTTTCCCCCAATACCTGGAAGAACCTCCTACCTCTTCCCTGCAGTCTACTCTCCACCTCTCCCAGAGGGGAGGCCTTCCCACATTGGGCAGGGGATAGGGTAGGATAAACAGTGGGAAGACATGTGGAAGGGAGCTAGTCAACCACACAAATTCTTCACAATTATGCTGCTTTATGTGACTTTTTGTAACTTCGAATATGTCATACTGAGATTTAAACCAAAGCACAATTGGTGGAATATTATATAGGAAAACTGCCTGATCTTCATTAGACAGTGTTAGCAGGAAATAAACCTTTATTTGTGTTGAACAACTAAAATTTTAGAATATGTTTGTTACTAGCCAAAGCCTAGCCTAGCCTTGACTAATGCAAAAATTGGTATGGAAGTGAGGTGCTGCTGTTAAAAGAGAAAAGAAGAGAAAGAGAAAAGGACCCTAAAATATGTGTCATCAGCTTGTGGGCCAGGTATCAGAGTCAGGAGGCTATAAGGACAGGAATCCATGGCAAAATAATTTGTACAATTATAACTAAAAGCTAACAATGTTCTGAATAAACTGACAGTCTTTGGAGATGAGATTAGAAAACAAAATGTTGGTAGCATGTGATGGTTGCCATTGACTCTCTTGCTAGGAATTATAGGAAGTGAGTTTAGAAAAGAACGAACAGGCTTACAACCAGGAATGAAAGGGAATGGGAAAAGTCACAAGTTCAGGGACTTGTAGGGATGGAAGAAAAAGTTGCTTCTCAATTCCAAACTATGAACATGAAAATCACGATATGCTTTGAATGACGAAGTTTGATGAAGACTCAGCTTTGTAACCAGAATAAAATCAAAGGTCCTGCCAACATACCTATAGTTAGAAACTGAATGAATTAGGCAGTTTGCAGCATATCCTTTTAACTGGAAAAAAGTGGCTCAAAGAAATGATTTGCCTATATGGCTTTCTCACTGAAGCCTGTTAGGCCCAAGGCACTAGGAATTACCACAGAAGAGAGGAAGAAATATATTTGCCATATTTCTTTATTCTTAAATGTAAAGAAGCAAATAAATGCAGAAAATGTAAGTGTTTATATAGAATGTGGATGTGGTTATTGGCAAATGGGAAGGACTAGAATCAAAGACATAAAAAAATGATTAAACGTCGAAGAGAGTTTTAGTGCTAAAGAAACCCAAAGCTCATGATTACACAAAACAAGTGTTGGGCCTTCAACCTTCTTTAGGTGAGAAGAAGGCAGCTTGACCTTCAGACAAAGCTAAGAAGGATGATGAGAAAGCAATAATTTCTCAGGGAGGATTGAAAGGTCATGGGAAATGAGGAACTGGAGAGCATCTCCCAGAGGACCAGGGTCCCCTGCACGGTAGAGCACCATGACAGCTAGTGCCCAGCAGGATTTTGGAGTTGCCATGGACTGCTCACCACTCCACATTGCTATGAATGTTGCTCATCTCTTCCCTTTCTGAATGGGAGTGTTATAATGGATATTTTGTGTTTTGGGTGTATGTTGGATGCTGTGTTTTGGGTGTATGTTGGGTGCTGTATTTTGGGTTTGTGTAGGTCTTTCATCTGCATCCAGATCTGTTGTAACGATTAGCATGCATTGCTCAGAGATACTGGATTTTGAGTTTGGTGCCATGACTGATGGGACATTTGGGTTATCTTTCTTGGAGGAAGAATGAGTATATTTTGTCTGCTGGAGGGAGAATGAATCGCAGTTTTGGTGTTGAGAAGGGCAAGCTCTGGTAGACATGCATTCACTATTTCTGGCTTTCTCCTTTCTGAACAAATAGAAGGATTACTCTTCCTGGTTGGGGGAGTCATGTGACAAGTTCTGGCCGATGAATTGTTGTGGGGAATATTTAATTGCCAGTGCAAGCCCTCCAGGGCCTCTGTCAGAATGATCCAGGTACTGGCTGCTCCTTCAATCCCAATACAGAATAAGGACAAACTGGTACCTACTAGCAACCCTATGTGCTTATGTTCATGAGAATTTGTTGTTTAAAGCCACTGAGATTTTGGGTTAAGTGATGACATACCCTATTCTGTGGATATGCTTGCATCATTTAAAAATGCTGACTAATGCATCCTGTGAAGAAAAACATAAAACACTGCTAACAATGAAAGCTCTGGAGCCTAACCTGCTAGGATCTACACCTAGCTCTACCACCTACAAGTTGTATAAACTCGGGCTGCTTACCTTTTCTAAGCCTCATTTTTCCCATTTGTGAAATGGGTATAATTATGTTCGTTTCCTAAGGCTGCTGTAAATTATCACAAACAACAGGGACTGTATTCTCTCATAGTTCTGGAGGCTGGGAGTTCTACATCAGTTCACTGGGCAGAAATCGAGGTGTCAGAAGGGATGTGCTGCCTCTGGAGGCTCTTGGAGAGAATCTGTTCCTTGCCTCTTCTAGTTTTCCCTCGCTCGTGGCTGCATCCCTGCAATCGCTGCCTTGTCTTCGCATTGCCTTCTCTTCTGAGTGTGTAATTTCCCTCTGCTCCCTCTTAAAAGGACACTTATTGGATTTAGGGCACACTTGGATAATCCAGGATCAGTCTGCAGTTGAGATTCGTAATCACATTTGCAAAAATACTCTTTCCTTAGAAGGTAATGTTTACAAGTTTCAGGGATTAGGACCTGATATCTTTGGGTGGCCATTATTCAGCTGACTACAATTTTAAGGATTAAATGAGATAATATACATAAAGCAGTCAGTAAATATTAGTTATTTATTGATATGGAAATGTATCTTATTTTCCCTAAAATGTCAAGTCTCTAGATGCCAAGTTACTGTTTTGGACCCCACACAGTAGGTGCATTATAAAACATACATAATAATTAACCTCTAAATAGTATCAGTAATCCATGATCTTAATTTGGGTAGTTACTTAATTGAAAATGATTCTTATAGAATTAATGGTTTGTGGCAGAGAAATCAGATAGGTAGTAAAGGCATGGTTTGTTTTTCTGCAAATTAAATCGGACACTTCACATTTTGACTACAGAGCTTTCTGATATCTAAATAATATTTAAAAAGAAAAATATAATTTCCTTTTTGTCTCCTTTTATTTTCAGATATTAAAAAAACAAGACCCTGTGCTAAGACATGATTACATTGCCAAAAATCCTGTGTTTGAAATTCCTGCGTTAATGGTCAATGTGTTATTCAGATTTAGCACATTAAAAAAAAATCTTAGAGTCAGAAATATTATTGCTCAGTGAAAGCACAATAAAAAAAAAAGGCTGCGCAATAAACTCTGTCGCGCCCAGGACTCCTGCTATTTTTTACACCATGTTAATACTGATGCAAATTGACTAGGGTTTCAGTGCCTGGTAGTCAGGGCTCTGGGAATATTGTGTCCCCGTTACCCCCCCAGTCCCTCCTCTGCTGAGCCCTGCCATTAATCACCACTTGCCTGTCTTGAGATCTCCCACGGTTTGGTCACGGCTCCAAGGTCACAGGCTGTCATTAACATTGATCTGAAAAACAGAACCAAACAAAACAGCCTGAATAATCTTTTGCTGCATTCCTAAACAAACCCATCCTAGATACATAAATAAATAACATAAAATGGAAACGAGGCCAGCTCACATCTTCCTTTCCTCAACAAGGGGCAGCACTGTTTACAGTCCCTGTGTTCAGCATCTCCATCATGTGGCCACACTGCTTAGGAAGACAAAGCTCTCACACATCCTCCGGCGGCCCTTTTGTTTTGTCTGTAGCAAATCAAGTAAAGCAAAGTGCTACTTTCTCTGCACCTGAGCTAAGCAAGCTCTGCTTAAAATAATTTATAATGGACAATGTTGTTGGTTTTTTGTAAACTGTAAGGAAGAGAATCAGTATATAACACTATATACATGGCTGATGAAACTACTTATCAATTTATCATTGACTGATGGGAACAAAAGAAAACCCACACCAAAGGGGCAAGGCACATGCCACATAAGGGGCTCCTTCATTTTCATCTGCTCTATAGAGCTAAGATTTACAGGCAAGAGCCGTATCGTTTTACTTCAGTTTACTACCTGGCTCCAACCATGGTTTATAAGCATTATGAAGAAGAAACATACTCAGCTCCAGCTTTCATTAATTTGGCACATAAGAAAGCACAGGAATGGTCTGAATCAGAGTTTTGAGGGGCAGGTTTAACTATAATTCACACTAAACCATGGAAACACGAGGAACAATTCAAATTGTAGATAGCTCTGGTGCTTATATATAATTTAATGTGGTGGGAGGAGGAAAAATAAGGCACACTCTTCCCAAATCTGCTTTCTTTGTGCTGAAAACCAGCAGAATGTGATGAAAAGTAGCATAGAATCTGAGCTGGGGAACCACATCTTGGCTAACTGCTTTTGGAAGAAAGGGATATGTAGCCAAAGGTCAGAGGGCTGTCCTGATGTCGGGTGTTAACATTTCATACCCTGCCAGATCTAATACCTTGGAAACATGTCTGCTGCCCAGATGGCAGAGCATGCTTAGATGGCAGGGGGGGTCCCCCCACAGGAAACAAGGCAGAGTCACAGATAACAATAGGTCATTCAAGGCACAACCAGGCACATCGGCATCAGCAGCCCTCTTGACTGGAGCAGCATTGATGAAGCATCTAATTTCAAACATCCCTGTGTTAAGCACTACTGAAAGAGAGACACATCAGCCTATTCATTTTTGACCTTCTGTATCAGGCATTTCTACATTGCTTACCATGTATCTGCCTCTGTACTAAGTGCGTTACTAACCAACTGCTAACTAAACTACTAACTGAATGAATCATCATCACCACCTCAGAGGTGGTTGCTATTGTCCTTATTTTACAGAGAAGCAAACAGAAGCATGCAGAGATTAAATCACTTTCCCTTCCCAAGGCGAGTAAGGGACTCAGGATTCTGTGCCTATCACAAACTACCAGATGCCCTGTTGCTACATATGGATACTGTCAGTACTGGAGGAGGACAAGACTGGCTAAAGCATTGGATTTCTCAGCATCTCTCCTGCACAGCAAATAATCTCTGTGAGGTTGCCTGTTTGTATCATAATGTGGACAGCTACTAGGTTCTGTCTGATTGGTAATTTGACACTCCTCAAATTCATATTGTCATTAATCAGTTGATCGAGTTCGTTGAGTATCTACTAGGTGCTCAGATGATAATTCTAATAGTTACCACTTATTGGGAAGCCTCTACAGGGTAACTGACTCAGTCTCTATATGTGGTAGAGATACTATTATTACCTCCTCTTTACAGATCAAAAAAATAATGCTCAGAAAGGTTAGGTAACTTGCCCAGGGTTGTACAGCTAGGAGTGTCAAAGCTAAGATTGGAATCCATTGTCTGACAGAATCTCTACTTCAATGAATGAGGTGGAGCAGGAAGTCCATGCAGAGAAGGGAGATAGGACAGGCCGGGAGGTAGGACCGCTGGAGTGGCTGCAACCTTTGTCCACCTGGCACTGGGGAGTCACACTAAGGCTGGGGACTCAGGAGGGACCTGGACAGACCTTTGGAGAGGAAACGTTAGGTGGTAGATGTGAGGATGGTTTGAAGAAGAGAGTGGAAGGAAGGAGACCCATTGGAGACATAAATTGATAAGAGCCTAAAACAAGGAAGGGAGGGTGGGAAGGGAAGCACAGGGATGGAAAATTACAAAGGAAGAACTGAAGGAAACAAATGAGCAGTTGTATCTTATTTTTTAGATTAAGACTCTTCAAGAAGTGAAATATGTTTTCGAGAGTAAGAGACTAGAGAGAGATTTCCTTCAACTGTTTTAGTCTGAGGTCCTCATGATTCTAGTTCAATTTACAGTAAACATACCTCTCCTCTCTATGGCAAAATTATTTCAGTAATAATCTTGTGACAGTCATTATCTTCTTGATTTGTTCTGCAGTTGTAAAACAATTTAAAATGAACAAATTTTAATGTTAAAGATATATTCAAATTGAGTAAAAAGACTTTGTGTACAGACTGAAATTTGCACTTGCCAAACAAAGATATGACACTTTGCAGTTTGCACTTTATTTCACTGTTTTATATTTTAAACATGAATAAAACCCATGAATGATCACATAAAATGGCAGAATGGAAGTATCTCAAATTATGTGTCTTCATCTTTACCATCACCGTGCTATCATTGTTTATTCTGAATATTTTATTTCTTTAAAAGCAGGAATATGAAGTTCTGCAAGGTTGGAAACACAAATGGCACCCAGAGAGTTTGAGAGGTTCTGAAGAGTTAGGAACTTACTATTGAAAGTGTGTAGCTGCATCCACCTAGGTCAGGAGCCAGCTGTGTGACTGGGCATTCTTAGAATTAACTTACATTATGTGTGCAAAGAAAGGATAAATAATAAACACATGCTAATGTGAAACTTTCATATCAATTATTTTTATCTTAACAGTAACCTCAGCAATTGTTTGGAATTTATACCAACAAAAAACATTTCTGAAGAGGTATATCTCATCATTGACTTTATTCAGAATTGCTGGCACACGGTGATAATAAAAAGCAGACTGACTTTTAGTTGGTTTTATTACTATTTCAAAATTCTCTACAGATGGTGCTCCTTCAGATCACCACTCTTGGTGCAAGGTGGTCAGAGTGTAACCATGAAATGGGGGGAGGGAGGGCAGATGAGGGGAGAGGGGAGAACTTGGAGCTTCTCCATTTTATGTACTGCACTTCCAAATAAAATATTTCTTCCATATGGGGTTCCTTGTCAAAAAGGTCTGAAAACCTCTGTAGGAAGATATCTAGGTGGAGAAACTGAGAACTGGCATTTCAGGAAAAGAGCTAAGAAGAGAGTCTAAGCCCAAGAAAAGGTCTGGGAGTCATTTGAGAAGAGATAGTAGTGACGCAATAAGGATGCTGAGGAAAAAGAGAAGAGAATTAAAAAAAATGCACCCTTGGGGAACAGTTCTGTTTAGGGGATGGTGGGGGAAGAGGGGCTAGAAAAAGACTAAGAAGGAAAGCGTCAGAAAGAAAGGAAAATCCAGAAGTGTATGGCTTTGCAGAATCCAAGGCTCGAGAGAGTTTTAGGAACTGAGAGGCCAACTCAATTAGGGGCTATAAAGAGATCAGGAAGCTGAAGAGAACAAAGGTTGTAGCATTTAATACTTGGGAGGTGACTGTGATATTCAACAGGAGCAGAAATCACATATTACAGACTTAATTCCTCAGTAAGGAATGGGTAAATAATCCGGTATATCAGTATTTTGGAATACTGTGCAACAATAAAAGATGATGAGGTATAAACATGGAAAGAATTCCAAGGCATATGGTTGAGTGGAAAAACAGGTTCACATTGGTATGTAAATATACAATATATGTTAAAATAGACAATAAAAATACACACTAACCAGTATTTTTCCTAAGGGTACATGTGTATGTAAATACTTCGGAAATGGTCTGGAAAGACACAATACACTAATAACAAAATATAGCTGTGCAACCAGTATCGGAATTGGGGATTGAGCTGAAAGGAGATTTGGGGGCTTATTAGCAATATTTTGATTTGTTACAGAAAAATATATTCATATAATTACTCATGGGATTGAAAATTATACAAAAAGAAAGAAATTGCCTTGCAAGAAATTAGGAAGTGTGGAGTGAAGTACGGGAGTGAAGGGAAGGAGAAAACTATGATGAGGCCTGGAGAAAAAGCAGCTTGTAGGGATGACTTTTTGACTGGGGAGGCAGAGCGTGTTTTTACGTTTAGAAAGGTCATGATGAATAAAACATATTTTGAAAATGGAAGCCAAAGGAGCATGATTGACAGAGCCAGGTTGGGGTAGAGGGTGGGGAGGTGGAGGGAAGGGGCAGGTCTTGAAGATGAAAGATGGAGAAAAAGGTCTATAAAGATCATACAGAGGAATATTAAAGTACAGAGGAAAGAACTACAGTCCTCTGGGAAGAGGGCTGCAGGAAAGTGGCATGAGGACAGCTGCAGAGGGTGGTGGCCTGTGTTCAGAAGATGGTGGCAGAGACTTTATATAGCAGATATGGCAAGACTATGTCAAGGTTCCCACTTGGGTTGATCCAGTAGTTGCCTGGTTGTGGAGCAGATCCAATGTGCCCTAACCCTGGCCTCACAAGCTCTCCCAGCCACACCTAGCAATGTTAGAACAGGAATAAGACAGCAGAAGGTCTGGGGTGTGTGAGGTGGAGATAGTGGAAGGGTGGGGTATGAGAGAAGGAGGAATGGTGCCTACTATCTGGAATGGCTGCAAGAGAAGTTAAAATGCGCCCCATAGTTGTTGCTGTCCTTTCTAGATAACTTGGAAGTCATCCCAGGCAACGGCCAGAACAGACTTTTTATCTCCACCTCCAATATAGTTCTTATTGGTTTTCTAGCCACAAGGCCCACTGTCTCTAAAGGAAAGCAAAAGTTACTCCCCACTTCCTTTGTGCTGTGTAACTCTGATTTCTAGGGTGCAAAAATCCTTTCTCCACCCAATTTGCACCCCCACTTCCCCAGAAAACAGAAGAAATCATGGCTGGCTAAAACTGAAGTGATTTGAACTTCATTTTCTAATTTTGATGGCAGATTTTTGGAGAAGAGACAAGAATATAATAAATTATAAGATGAAAAGACATTCTCAATCATTTCTCTAGTTATTCAACTGATTTCTGAATGTTTTGAATGTAAGGTAGGATTTGTTACTTTAAAAATCACTTCTGTGTTCTTAGCACTGTCAGAAAAGCATGGCTAAATGTCCAAATAATGAAGAAACACATAAACAAGAGCTTTTCCTTACCGAAATATATCACGATGGTTTTTGATGTTCCAATCATACTCTCCTTTACTGACAAGTTCAAAGAATTCAGTTCTCCTCCTGCAGGAAAATCAAATGAAGAAAGAAAAAAAAACCTGGAATGAAATTTTCCAGTCTGTGGGGTGACATAAATAAATTTATGGGAAAAACATAAGACCACCTGAACCAAGTAACTTAATATTTGAAATCATGAGGCTAAAGTGCTATCAAAATAAATTACTTTCTAAAAAATGTTGAGGCTTCAAGGAAAGTCACAATCATTTCTGAATGTATTTACAACAGAGGAGATCATAGAGCCATAAAACAGAAAACAATGTGATGCTGCATTTAGGATTATGTGCTGTGAAGCCCTTGTGACACTTACTGAAAGTCAGAGAAGGAAGGCAAGGACAAATAAAAAGTGGGAACGATTCTAGAATGCTCTTTTATCATTCAACAAAGAATTGAGCTGCATGATGATCCAAGATAAGATAAACTCCCTGGTAGTAAATTCAAGATAAACATGTTTTTCCAGGTTAGAAAATAACTATTTCACCATTTCAGTGCTTAAACACATAGGCTATGAAATCTGAAAGTAATTGTGTTTAAACACTTGTTCAGTAACTCACTTGCTGTACAACTTTGAGAAGTTAAGTAAACCCTCTGAGTCTCATTTTCCTAATCTCTAACATGGGGATTTTGGTGGCTAACTCATAGAGTTACTTTGAGGATTAAATGAATGACATGTGAAAAGCACGTAGCATAGTGTCTGAACATTTTAAGTGCTTGACACCGTAAACCAAAAATAAAATTCTAAGCCCCCAGCCAAATCAATGAACTTCTGTTGGTCAAGGGCATTCCTAAGTCAACCTGAAACACTAGTTCAGGCCTTGATGGGAAGTGGGAGTTGGACATGCCTCATTATTCCTTCCTCCCTTTTGGAATGCTGGTTCAGCTGACCAGCATGAACATTAAAACAGGGACCTTAAGACTGACAAAGCAGACTCTTTGTAGCAGTAAGATACCAACATGACAGATAGCAAGCACTAAAAGAAATGAAAGTATTTTATCCCAAAATATATTTCTTTGACATATTTTGAAATGGCCTTGTAAAGCTGTCTCTTATGGAGAAAATCTACATTCTGTAGAGAATCCCCTTCCCTTTCCAGGCCTTTTTCCTAATCCAGGAGAGGATTAACTAAGAGCTTGGCACCTTTTTAAGTCTGACAAGAAAGATTTACAATTTATTCTCTCTTAAGGCTGCTACCAGGTGGCTTCATCTGCATAACAAAAATGTTGGTCTCCACAATCCCTTATCTTAATGCAGGCACTCCCGTAGATTGACTCTAGGTCTTCAGATAAACTCTTTCAACTAATTGCCAATCAGGAAATTTTGAATCTGCCTATGACCTGAAGCCACTCCCCTCTTCAAGTTGTCCCACCTTTCCTGACTGAACTAATGTACATCGTACGTGTATTGATTGATGTCTTATGTCTCCCTAAAACATATAAAACCAAGCTGTAATCCAGCCACCTTGAGCATATGTTCTCAGGACTTCCTGCGTCTATGTCATGGACATGTCCTTAACCTTGACAAAATAAACTTCTAAATTGATTGAGACCTGTCTAAGACACTTTTTGGTTTAACACATACATACACCCATGGATATCCATTTGGAGATGTATAGATATGGAAAAGACAAGAAAGGAATATTTTAAAGTTGTGAAACAGGGTGATATATTTCTGTTTTCAAAACTTTAATTAGATGATTTTCATTTTGAGTGAGAAAAGGAAAAAAAAAAAGAGGACATCACCATTTTGATAAAAATCACTTCCCAAGTTTTCATCCTCTTGGCACTTGCTAATGAGAGAGTATATAAAAGATCCTAACACACCATTTCCCAAAGCACATCTCTCAAAATGTTAGTCTTGAGAGGTGCTCCATGTGAAGACATTCCTGGCCAAGCAGGTTTGAGAAATGCTGCCCTGAGTATACCTCTCTTGGAGACACCATCCACATTAGCCTTTGAAGTCTCTGAGAAATATTAAGGTAGAAAAACCTGTTTAAGCTTATTTTGCCACAAATTCCACATAGCACTGATGTTTCAAAAACTACACTTAGGAAAATACCACCATGACATATAATTTATGATAGAAATCAGACTAGGATCTTAGAAACTTAGTGCTGACCCTCTGTACAGGGGGACAAAGGACAAGCAGTTGAGAACAACCGGCTCCTCTGTGTCTGGCCTGGGATGCTCATCACCAACTGACCAGCTGTGTGGATTTCTTGCCAATGGGTCAGACCAACTACTAAATTTACTTGAAAGGAGACAGGTCAGGAAGACAAATGTATAGCTCACTTCTGTATTAGAGACACAAAGACAGGGCCTGGATCTATCCTTTCAAGATGATGCAGGTCAAGGCCATACTACATACAGCATGGAAGAAGAATCTCCAAGGCAACCTTAGAGCAACTGATGAGATGGCGTAGCTCAGTAACATAGAAGGGCCCAGGAACTCCTGCTTTAGGTGAGCAGGTATGTATATTTATTTTCTTCATATAACTTTATTATCTTCTTCACTTGACCCATTCCCGTCTTCATGATCAATGGTCATGCCTTTTTCATATTCCTGAGACAGCCAAGCAAAAAGGGCTCCCCGGAGAATCTCCAATTGGTCTACACACTGGAAGGATGGGTGTGCCCTCAGGAAATTTGTGCTGTTCACAGTGGGGAGGAGCCTGTCCCTTTCTGTTACTGTGTGGGAATCTGGGATTCAATTTGTGAGATGGGGGCCTGTTAACAGGAACCCCTCTCACTTTGCTGAGGAGCTTTTTCCTTTTTGCCAAATAAATTCCATAACCTCTCACCCTTCAAAGTGTCTGCATGCCTAATCTTTCCTGGTCATGTGATAAGAAGCCAGTTTTTTTCTGCAACATTACCATGACTGACTGTGATGTGAAATAGAAAGGGAAGTGGTGGTTTGGACTCACACTGACCCGGGCTTAACGCTGACTGTCACTTATTAGTTGTGTGATCTTGGGTGAGTGACTTCACATTGCTGAGCCTCACTTTCCAGCTTTGTAGTGAGAAACTGAGATAAGCTGTGCTAAACATTTTGCCCTGTTAGATACTCAATACCTGAAGCTACAGTTAATGTGTAGATAATATTAATTCTATTACTGCCAACAGTAATACACAGTGGACTAATTGGACTAATGGAGATCTACCAGTTTACCCGGTTTTCTCCTCTCACTACACAGAAATTCATCTTTTTCAAATTATTATGAAGTCCAACAAGTATTTATTGAACATCTACTGTGTACCAAGTCTTTATTAGGCTTTACGGTCACAAGATAATTGGGGGTTACTTTTAAATGTCTCCGAGTTTAGCCAGGGCAACCAACAAATAAACAGGTAATTCCCTCTTTAAATGTAATATGAATGAGAATAATAATACTGAGACTAGAGTGAGGTAAGAGGCACTCACCTGGGGCATGAAATTGAAGTTACAATCTAGTCTGCAAGAATCTGACAGGGCTCTTCTTGAATAGAGTTTGTGTTATTTTCTTACCTCAATCTCTCCAAATGGCAACTATGAAGCCCTAGAAAAATTAGGATCTAGGGGAAAACAGTGTTTAAAGAGTTTGTTTGAGATAATCATTCTCATTCATTCGTCAATTCAACAAATATTTATTGAGCTTCTACTATATGTCAGGCATTGTTGTAGATATTGAGAGGCAGAAGTGAAGAAAAGAGGGCCAAGCCTCTGTCTTCATGAAGCTTGCGTTCTAGTGATTTCTTGTAATAACTCATAGAATTGTAATGACCACCCAGGCACACATGACGACAAGGATGATGCCTGACAAGCTCTTTCAGAAAGTCTTCCAGAATCCTCCAGGATCCTCCCAGCCAAGACAAGTGTGTTCTTCTGTGCTCCAAGGACACCCTGGATATACCTTAGCTGCTTGGGGCCGCTGTTCCTTTAACATATTGTGTTTGTATCCCAGCTCTGCCAGTCACCATCTGTGAAACCTTGAGCCAGGTACTCAACCCTTTTGAGCTTAATCACAGTAACTGATCCTCACTGATCACCTAATTTTGCCAGGCACTCTGCTAAATGTTTTACATAAATCATTTCATTTAATCTTCCCACCAACCCTACAAGGTAGATTCCATTACTATAGCTCTTTTACTAATAAGAAAACTGAAGCTGAGCAGGGTTAAGTAACCTACTCAAGGTCAGTCATGTGAGTAGTAAGCGTCAGAACCCAGCGAGTCTGCCAGGATCACAGTAAAGACCTAATGAATATCATCCTCATCAGGGCTGGAACTAGGGTGAAGCAAGTGAGGTGAGTAGTTCTAGTACAAGTTTAGATCTCGTCTTTAGAATTTTGTTGTTGTGTTCATAATGGTTTCTTTGCATTTATTTTTATTTTGTTAAATATCACATTAAAATATTTATCATGATAACTAAGTCTTTTGGCACCCACTTCAAACAAACTCTTCAAATGCTGGTTTCCCCTAGCTCCTAATTTTTCTAGGGGCTTCACAGTTGCCATTTGGAGAGATTGAGGTAAGAAAACAACACAAAATCTATTCAAGAAAAGCCCTGTCAGATTCTTGCAGACTAGATTCTAACTTGAACCAAATGGACAACATAACAAATTGCAGGAAGTAAGAACACCATTTGCATCCAATATCTGACTCACTTTCCACAGCGTTATATCTGCCCATAGTATGTTCACTATAGGGAACATAACATCTTTGATATAGAGTTCCCTGGGTGCCTAACTCTTTGCAGAAAACAAATTCCTTTCCTTTTCTTTTTTTCTTTTTTGTTTTAGAGTTTCGCTCTTGTTGCCCAGGCTGGAGAGCAATGGTGCCATCTTGGCTCACTGCAACCTCTGCCTCCCGGGTTCAAGCAATTCTTCTGCCTCAGCCTCCTGAATAGCTGGGATCACAGGCATGCGCCACCACAACTGGCTAATTTTGTATTTTTAGTAGAAATGGGGTTTCTTCATGTTGGTCAGGCTGGTCTTGAACTCCCAACCTCATGTGATTCGCCTGCCTTGGCC